TTCTCGCAGCAGCCCTGCCTGCCTGCCTTCCTGCCTGCCACCCCCGGACCCTTTATTATGCGCGGGGGAGGGTTGAAGCTGAGGATGGCTTACCTGTGGCTGTCCTGAATTTTCTGGTTTATACCTCAGTAATCAACGGCTTCAGTTTGCAGGAAGAGGCTCAGCTTGGCAGAGAGAAAACCGTTAGGCGTTGAAGTGAATTTCAATTTGTCTCTTGATTGTGGTTAATTCCATGTTCACTGAACTCTCGCCCAGCGTGAAAGGGAGCCTTGAAAGATTGTCTCACCTTATTTAGTTCCTCGGGTTTGGAGTACATTGTACAGAATTACTGTGATACACAGTACGGTTGTACTGGTACATTTACCATAGAGACAAAGTACCATATGATAAATACAAGAGAAGATGGCTGGAAGACTGCAAAAAAAAAAAAAAGTGCAAATAAAAATTTCTGGATCAACACTGAAGAATTAACTTCCAAGTTCAAAGCCAGTCAACTCTCTTGTTGAAATAGGAACTTTTTTCAGTCTGACTCAAGGTGGCCACTCCCATTATAAACATGCTGGCCTAAGGATGGGTTGTGTATTGTATGGAGTAACTCATATGTTCTTATGGGAACAGACAAAGAGGAGAGATGCAACAGAATAAGGAAAATGTTTTTCAAATTGGTAAGCGTTCTCTGAGTTCCAAAGTGGGTCACACCATTCAGTCACCTTGGGCCAGATTAGAAGACAAAGCAAATGCAGAGGGATGGATATCTTCAGAGGTGGATATGCCTTCCATTATCAGGCAGTGAAAGCTGTGGTATTTGCTCCCTAAATAAATAAATATGAGAAAGAGAAAAAACTATGTGAAAGTAGCTTCTTTTTAAAAATTAATTATCCTTAAAGCTGGTTAATGTGTCATTGTTTTTTAACTGGAGAAGACATGAATGTGAGTGCTTGTGAATTTCCATTTTCAGACTGACTAGGTGACATCTTGATGTTTCCACATCCTAAAACTACTCAGCAGGAGTATTCCCAAAAGTGATCTTTGCAGTGCACCAAAGTGTTATAGGTATCTCTCTTACTCAGAGCATTTTCCCATTGTTAGTTAACTGCTGGTTTCTGCAAGAAAAATAATAAAATGGGCATCAGCAGCCTTGGATATGGGTTGTATGTTACTTCGCACTGACATTTCTAACCTCCTTTATCTAAATATGATACAATAAGGGCACAAAACAAGTCCCTAATGTCATGGAAGGTACAAAACAGTATTTGTACATAAGACCATTTAAAAGCTAATAAAAAGGATAAGCTTATATTGGATCTGGAACACCAAAAATCACTTCCTGTTTTAGATGCTAAACTTCTGAAAAATGCACACCCCACCTGAGAATATTCTAGGAGAAAAATGGAGTGTTCGTAGTGG